TGTGTCCAGCGGGTACGCATACCTCAAACCCGGTGACAACAAATATCAAGACAGAACGGTACTTTTAAGTAAAATAGAAAGGATAAACCATGGAAAAATCTCAACAATGGATACACAAGGTCAAGAAAGAAGAGAGACGGCTAATCTGCCTAATTCTACACAGGGCAACAAAACCTGTTTCATAGCAATGTCATGCCAGACAAAACCAGAGTTGGGGGCGTGTATGTTTTAGTGAGAGAGGCAATGAGAGTTGCTTTTATGTGATTTCAGGCGGCAGTTCCTGTGGGCTCCCATTAGTCCAAAAGACCAGCGCGAAAGGCGGCAGACGTGAACAGAGACAATACTGCGCCGACAACGGAGAGAAGGTTGGTGACCGCTAATTGCAAGAGTTTTGGTGTCAGCGAAGTGGCGAAAGCTGTGATCGAACCAGAGTGGGAAGGGGAGGCAATACCAAGTTTCAACAGCCTAGAGGTATGCAAGTGGCCTCGCGGTTAACTGGCAAACATACGGTGCGCCGAACTGCGGGACGGGTGATGCGAGTGCGCGCAAGGAAGTAGGTCAAGTGGTTTTCAGGTCAGCCTGACTCGACGGCCGCTGTAGAAGTCCAAAAGAGATAGAGTTGACATATTCAAGTGCTACTTGAAGCAGTTGTCTCTTGAGGCGTTGGGGTCGAAAGCATTGTGGGAAAAGGTGCTTTAAAAGGCGAGGAAGCCGAACGGGGTTGGGATCAGTATTCAAGTACCACTTGGCATGGGGCCATTTTTAACTCCAGTGTGAATTCAAACAAAAAGGTCTACAGAGGCAACATTCTCGGGGGGAAGGTGACTCGGGCATGCAGTTCAGAGGAATGGGGAGCAGTTGTTCGTAAAGGGAAGCATTTTTTAGTGGGGCTGGTAGGAAGCCAATGGAACTTTCGTGGAGAATTTCAAACTTGTTTAGCTGGAAATAAAAACAAGGATATGACGACTCAGCTGTAGATTTGAGCCCCTTCAGTGATTGAGAGTAGATCCCGGGAGCACACAGCCGACGTAAGATTCGGAAGTGAGCGGAGTTTGAAGCTGCACTTCCAGTTGAGGTATATCCTCTAGCGGATAAGGATCTGCAGCAGTTGAATTTTTCAAAGTCACAGAATATTCCTGTCCAAGTTGCTTTTCCCAAAATTTGGAAAATATACAGTCTACTCTTGAATAATTTCCAAGGACCGTGTCTTCGACACTAAGGCAGGGACTAAATACTCGTCTTCTCGTAAATTCGAAACCGAGTTCAAGCGACGCGCGAGTACACAGCCCCGCTTTGCTGCGAAGGCCTCTAAAACTGCCCCCGTTTGTCCGTGGCGCGCGCCATCATCAAGTCGTAGAGCTGACATATCAAGTGAATCAAGTGATCGGAACAGCCGAATTTCTGCCTGACTCTCCATCGTCTGGCACCATTCACTTTGTCCTATGCTTTCGTCAGGTGCACGAAGGTAGTGAAGAGGTGGGAACACATCACCTAGCACTTTTTCTGCAGTTGTCGTGAGGCGAAGACCATGTTGCTAGTGCCGCGAT